AAAACGCAGTAAAATTCAAATTCTATGCAATAAATTGATAAAATGAGAAAACAGTACTAACCTTTTCAATATTTTCATTCACTCGCACAAGAATTCTATCCAAACTTGCACAGCTCGCCCACGAAAAATTGTTTAAAAAATGATTTTGAGTTTCAAGCTTTCACTATCAACAACTCTAACACACGATAACAAGTTTCAAACATTCCTTTAACCCGGTTGGAAAGGAATTATATACTAAACCTCTAAACTAACCAACGCAGCTTACTAAGCACCGCAAATCATAAAGTAACAGCATGACTAAGAAAAGAAAACCAACGGTACCCAAACCGGATTAACCCAGTTCAAAACTGGATAATTTATTTTTTTGAAGATTATTAAAAAGTCTAAGAAAGAAATAATAAAACAAAAAAAGTTGCAAGACAAACCCATACCAAAAACAATTTGATTTTTGAAAAAAGAACACAACCACAGTAAAATAAGAAAAAACCAACATAAACCCAACATAAAACGTTATCACATCACAGGACCTCTCAAAGAAACAGCATAAAATCATACTCCCACTCCTGGCCTAACCCACCAGAGGGGACGTCCTGAGCATGCTCTATAGCCGGCCTAACCCACCGCGCTACATCCACGCTTTGTGACCACACTCCTATTTTTAATAAGAGGTATTCAAGGGTGAGTAACTCTTCAAAATAACCGAATTAAAACAAAACGCTTTTTTGAAAACGAATAACTAAAATCATGATTAAAAAACCGAATTAACATAATTTTATAAAATGTAAATCATACTTTGCAGTATATAGATCATACACTACAACAAAGACGAACATCCAAAGACCAGATGATCCCATCACACTCGAACAAAAGAATGGCTAAACACAACCGACATGCCGTCCACAATCACAACTCAAAGGATTTAGAGTACGACTTGACTCCGCAGAAAAGGACTTCATTGAACTAGAACAATGACAACCTCGATGTTCAAGTATACGTACAGATCAGAGTTACAAGGCATCCCTTCCACACACGATCTTCACGCCATTCCCAGACGAGGTTGCACACAAAACAAGTTCTCTACATAATACAGAAAAACCTGTCATAGCAAACCATTTTGAGATCGGATTGATTTCATTGGGGATCACAGTCGTTGTCAAATGACGACGTAACAATTTCCTATCCATAATTCCAGCGTCCTGGAGCGTTCTTCTCCAAGAGGAACCGGAAAAGAAAATGATGTTCGCCAAATACCAACGTTCATCATCCATCCTTCAAATTGCAGAGAAGAAAGATAGTTCTAAAAAGCTTTGTAAGCCCCGGATGGGTGGAACCTGATCTAAACTACATTTTATTATTGGCTAAATTGGATATTTTACCACTGTAAAATATTTAATATTAACCAATCATAATCCATCCAACTAACAACTCACTTATTTGTAAGTGCTGAAATTACTTGTAATTTCAGCAACAGAGAGATTTGAATTTAACTTAGAAATTAGTTGCCTCTCCAAGAGAACTTCAGCAGTTGCAATAAGCCAGTATACTCTAGATCTATTGAGCCTAGCAGAGACTAGTTAAACACCCTGAGACTTGTAGATATAAGAGTAAGATTAGGATCGGTATTAGACTAAGAAGTTGCACGAATCTATCCGGCCGAAAATAAGATAGCGTGACGAGCAGACGGTGTACCCTATCCAAAATTACTCCATGAGTTAACCACATCGGTCATAACTCACTTCCCAATTTAGTGAAATTGCTAAAAACAATATTAAAACAAATTTAGGCTTATTTTTTTGAATAATTGATGTTCCTATGAGTAAGCTCAGCTAATTTCTGTTCTAATAGTACCAAGATCAACTGGATCAGTCCAGTAGTTCTAAAGTTATTAACCAAAACGTCTTTTTCTAAAGTCAAAAAACTTCTCTCTTATAGGTTCCGCCTAACTTTTTTCGCAATTCTGTTCTTTTTGACCTAAAATTTTTTTATCCGAGCTCAGAAAGCCTGTACGCTTCTAGTTCAATGCAAAAAACCCGATCTAAAACGCTCTAACTGAAAATTTTGCAAAAAACTATGCTATTCCGGCCCCTCCGGATTGATGAATCCACTAAATCAAACACGTTAAGTTCGATTTCTCTTTAACCCGGAAAGTTATCGGCAAACGAGTTTAAAACCTGTCAATTCACTAGTGGACGTTGTCCGAACAAGAATTTTTACTGTCCTAACTCAAAAATGTCAAAAAATTTCGTTTCGTCTATTCAAAAATCACGAAAATGAGGTTTTTGGTATCCAACCACTTCTGAACTAAACTCAACTGGTTCTATTTAATATACTAGTATAGTTACAATGTAATTCACTAATTTAGTGCTTTTTTCCGTTTCAAAAAATAACGATTTCTCAAAAATTGCGATTTGTGGGGAATCAAAATATTGCTATTTTGACCCTAAAAACCGGTCCTTTTACTGTGTTTTTCACTGAAAAACGATATAGAAGTAATAATATAGGCTGTATAAATGATAATAATAGTAATACTATACCCCTCCGGGTTTGTTCAATATCCCAATTAAAGTGCTTAACTCGGAATTTCGAGCATTGTCGAGCATTACTATCTTATTTTGTTTGTACCAAAAGGGATACAAATTTGTTAACGATACCCAACAGTCGACTGTTGTTGTCGTTGAGACCCCTCTTATCACCCCTTGTACTGCTTGCAGGATCAGTCTTCTTCACTAATCCCGAGACTCTTCCGGATTGAGCGCAAATTAGCATTAACGTGCTTAAATACTCAAAACACCCTACAGCACAAGCCTCACAAATGGGCCACAAAATTGATAGTAACGATCTTGACTGATATAAATGTCTGTAACAACAATTTATCTAACAACAGCAAACGGGAGGGTTGGATCACATCTCGTATGGGGGATGATTTCTACTGATTTTATACTTTTTTTTAACTGTTTTTGGTTTTTTCGGTTATTTTTTTATGTTTTTGTTTTTCTTGGGTACTATACTATTTTCTGTTTGGTTTCTTGTATATCTTTAAGTGTTTTTGGTCACAGACCTCTCAGGGAACGAGGGGACGGCCGATCCCCCCACCCTTCCTGGAACGTGAATTTTTGGTCTTAACTAGGTTAAAAAGCTATTCACGGGAATCCGGAAGGCTTCCGCGTTCCGAACTACCCTTCCACCCCGGCCGTTAGGGCCTATTAAGGGCATTAGTATGAGCATCCGCTCGGCGCGGATTGCTCGTTAACGGTTCTGCCGGTCATGATGTTAAAAAAGATTAACACTCAGGAGCGCCATAAAAACATCTATGTAACGTTCGCCCGGAAGTACATATCGACGGAAAATAGAGCTAAGCTTTAAAACGACTGGCCAGCGTCGAAACAGAGCTCTACATGCTTTTCAACGTCTCTAACCGAGCCAGTTCTTTTGGTGGTCTTTCTAACATCGGGTCGACAAAAACGTTACAGTTCTCCGGCTCTGACCAGTACGCTCAAATTAACTTACTTACATGCAAAATTAGTGAGCTCATGGCTGGGTCTCAGTATCCCCAGACCACGAGGTCACTCCTAAATGTAGGGCTACTACTATTTGTTTGATTATTATTGTTTCTGATCAGTAGATAAAAATAATCATCTCCATCGAAAATGGATCAACCCTTTACCTTAACTCCTAGCTTCTCATCGTCAGAAAATAAATCCAGATGTTAATTAAATTCAATTCGAGACATAACCGGGAAGCTAAAAGTTCGTATAAAACAGTTTGAGTTCAAGTCCCAAGACCCCTCCGGAAGGCTTGTTTCCACCCTTCACCGTTAGCGTGAATGGCCTTGCAACGATTGTAGCGGCACAATCGTTGCAACTCGGAGCGGTCTCTGCTAATACTCTGTCGTATTTCTCTATTTCTAGTCGTTTTTCTCACAACTGTTGTGGTTGTTATTTTCGCAACGTATCTCGTTGTTCTGTTTTTATTTCAGATTTCTTCCAAAATGGCCGTTTTTGACGTTTCTCAGAATTGTGACGTCACAATTCGAATTTTAAATTTTAAGAATTTCCAAATCCTTTAGCCTTCACAATTTGTCTAATCGTCTGAATAACACTGTTAATCCTTTAAAACTGCCAATTCGGAAGGTTAGCAGCTAGCCCTTCGTAACTGTCTTTTTGTCAATTCTGGTCGAATGTCACAATTCCTAGTTTCTCATATTCTGAAAATGAATTCGATGTTAACTAAATTCAAATCAGGACATGGAAGCTAAAAGGAAGCTGAAAGTTATTAAAATGGAGATACATTCTCCTCCCCGAGACCCCCTCCGGATTCTGGAATCCGGACGAAGAGCGGTAGCGGTCTTATCGTCCCTCCGGAAGGCTGGTAAAGTCGTCCCATTACCCTTACTGGTTCTCGGGAAGTCTTTGGTAACGATTGTACAGTTATAATCGTTACTATTCGGAATGGTCTTCCGTTAACGTCAACCACTATAATTTCTTCGTTCGTTGCTATTTTTCGTTCGTCTTGTCTGTGTCAACGAATATTGTTCTTTTCTTTTTTGACATTTTAGTTGTAGCGTAATCTCAAGGTCGTGACGTGTCTATAATTCAGAACGAATTTTTAAAATTTGTTTCGTCACTTCAAATTGACCTTTCCTAATTCGTTGAATCGTACGATTAGTACAGTTAATCTACCAAAGCTGTCAATCATCCCAGTCTACGGTTACATTAAAATTTCGAAGTTGCCATGCATTGTGGCGCCATTCTGGTCGAATGTCACACTTTTATTTTAAAGTTTTACTGTATTTGACTTTCAATGGTAATTTCATTATAATAATTTGACTTCCAATTGTACATCTGAAAATACTTTCAACTGGAAAATAAAGATTTTTATAATATTTGATAATTTCATTTGGTTCAGCAATGTACGTACTCTTCGTTATTAATCTATAGTCCAGAATAAATTTTCAGTCTATCCATTTGAATGTAATCTAAAACTACAGTGGGTTGGCATCAATGGCGCATTCAGCTGCTAACTCCGCTGTAATCTACGACTCTACGAGTGATGCGGGTGAAAGTGATGCTTCAACCTGTGAAGAGGGGCCCAATTCAATGGGCCGACTGAGTATTATGGCAAGAGTCCGCTCGCTCCAGCAGGAAAACACGGTGTTGAAAATAGAAGTTGATACTCTCAAATTACGATGCAAAAACCTAAAAGAGGAGAACGAAGAACTCAGGAGAGCGCGAGTTAATTTAGTAAGTTTTTCTACAATTTTTTGTGCCGGCCAACCCCTAGAGGCGGGAAGGAAAGGAACCATGGGTAATATAAACTTTTCGGCTGATTTTTGACTACCTCAAAGAGGTGCGGAGCCGGATTCCCGGATAGGCGAAAAACCTAAATACCTCCGGTTTCAATTAAATTAAATCAGAAACCTTGCTCTAAATTGAGACGCATTTTAATTGGACAAAAAAGAGCCTCAAAATTTTGCAGCCTGTTAGCTAACAAAATTCGGAGCATTTTAAGAGACTTGATTGTCTAATACTTTTACTCTCATTGAATTAATTAACAACAAAAGCCCGATTACTACAGGTTTTTGACCCCGTCACCAACCAAAGGGTCCCCTCGTTGGCATTTTTGAATTTTTTATGACATCCATCTTCGGCCAATAAACCCTAAATTTTTTCAATATATACTAATTTTAACGGGGAGCACGCGCTGAAAAAAGCAATATTGTAATCAGAATTCTTCAAAAGATCTCAAAAACGGCATTTTTGGTCTGTTTTTTTTAGCGAGTTTTTAAAAATTTGTCCACCCCCCTCGAGAAAATCCTAGATGCGCCCCTGCATTGTCATTATAATTTCGGTTGGTGGCCCTTAATTTGGTCCTTCAGTTTGGGGGCCCTTATTAGGTTTTTTACTTTTCGGCTATCCGGGAACGAATATATTTTTAGGCCATCCAGGAACGAATTTATTTTTCGGGTATTCGGCTCTGTGACACGCCACCCTCAAAGAGAGCTCCGAGTGATCCTAAGCTTGTAGCATATTTAAATTTTTGAAGCCAAAATTTAAACGAAAGTTGACAAGAGGCTGAACTCTCACTAATGTTTTGTTTCAGTTGAAACGTAGTTTCAGCTATTATTACTTTTTTCTTGCAGTTTGGCACCTTATTCAATTGCCCTTTACTTCAAAAAATAGCCTAGATTTTTGGACAGTTTTATTTTTTGGGGTTGTCAATTTTTTCTTTATTTTTGATTTTTTTTTCAATTAGTGTGGTCGGAACATTGCGCTTCCCGAACAGAAACCGGCTATCCTTTGTTTCTATTTGAACTCCTAACTCATATATCTTAATTGACGCGGGTTGCGGATTATTTAATTGATTGTGTGAAAAATGTTTAGCAAGCACGAGCGGAGCAAGAGGAAGAATACATAAGCAACACACTCCTGAGGAAGATCCAATCTTTGAAGAAAGAGAAAGAAGTTCTAGCTACCACATACGAACAAGAGGAAGAGTATCTGACCAATGACCTCAGTCGAAAATTGGCTAAGTTGCGAGAAGAGAAGATGCAGCTGGAGAATACACTGGAAGTTGAGCAGCAGAACCAAATTGGTCGGCTGATGAAGAAGATTGAAAAATTGGAACACGAAACATCGAAAAAACAAGCGGCTTTGGAACAGGTACGTTTCCAGAAGAATGATTATAGATTTGCTTGAACAAAGCTCCGCTAACTAGTCTCAAAATCTACAGTCACATGGGAAAAGTATTGGTACAGCAGTTTTTGAACACCAACTGGGGAGCTTTTTCGGTTCATAGTATGGCTGGAAAATTGTGCAAATCAACTGGATACTTCTTGAAAGAGTAGCTCTTCAAATCTACTCTAAATACTTACAAGGCACTGTCTCCATAAAAACCAACAGAAAAAAAGCATAGCCATCGAGCGGCCAAATTAGTTTTGCCGTAAGAAATACCAATTTTGGCTGCTTCACGCGAATACTGATTCTGATTTTGAAGAAAAAGAAACGCGTATGAAGTTTTCATAGGATATTTGAAGGCTTCTGAAAAATAGACTAGAAGTGATCCAGCTGATTTGCAAAATTTTCATGCAGATCCTATAAAACGAAGAAAACTCGAAAACTAAATTAAAAGCGAGTCCCATAATCACCAAACAAGCCGTAGCGATGATTTTCTGGTGAAATATTGAGCAATTTTCATGTGCCGCAGTTTTTCTCTCAATGTAATCTAATTCGCGTCAATCGCAATCAAAGGTCTTGTCGTCGAAAATGTGTGACGAATACTTTTGCTAATGTGGCTGTATACTTGAAAATATAAAACCAAGCTTTATTAGCGTTCGAGATTGTTTTACTATCTGTCCGATTTTTGACTTTAATTATGAGTGATTCATTTAAACAACGCTATGAACCATATAGCCAGGAAAAAAACCTTATATGAAACCAATACGGGTAAAATATGGCGTTTTGTTAAGCTGAGAAGAGACAAAGTGGACCTTGAAAACTACCTGGAACAGGAACAGGAACAGCTGGTGAACAAATTGTGGAAGCAAATGGACGACCTTGAGAAGCAGAAGCAAGACCTCATCACGCAACTGAGTGACCAGAGTCCACCGAAGAGCAACCCCAGTGCCGCTGTTGTCGGAGAGGTGGAGGATAAAAGCAGGGACAGTGTCAGTTACCACGAAACGTGTTCGGAACAGAGCAGTGCTGCGAACGGACAGGCACATGTAGGGCATATAATAAACTCATTTTCAGCAATAGAAAAATGCATAATTTTTCTGAGCCAAAAATATTATAGCTTGAAAAACACAAAGCGGCACTTAGCTGCCTATCGAATGGTTTCATCATAGTTTTCATACAGATTATTTTTCGATTTTATTCAAATTTGCACTTATTTTTTTCCCATTGAACAACTTTTCTTCAAAACTGAGAAACGCGTGTGTCTATTTTGCACTGATGTTTTACAGTTATGCAGTGAAGTTTTCAAGAGGAATTTCCTTCCTGATTCGTGGTTTTCTTTTCAGTTTTTGTCGGATCATTCTGCATGTTTTTTAGAGTCGATGCGTAGTGAAGACTCATATTTGCTTTTTCGCGGTGTAAAAATTGATTTTCTTCGTTGAAAGGAAGGCAAACTTCGCCATCGAACAGTTGTAATGCACTAGATAGGAAGTTCTAATTCTAAATTCGAATTCTAATTTAGAAAGTTGGCTTTACTTTCCAGATTTCTCAATGGTTCATAACATCAAAAAATTTTCCTTCCGTGCGTTTATTGACTTTTTTCCCAACTTTCTGCCGACTATGTTTTTCTATGATTTTTGCTTGCTGTCTCTGATTTTTCCAGATTCCATATCAATAAGGTCATCAAGCGTGCTAAGAAGGCGTTCTGAAATTTTGAACGTAGTGAGTACTCTTAAATACACTAGTGGACAAAACTAAGCGCAAATTCTAACGTTTACTCTTAAAAATGCCTGTTTTCAATGTACATTTTGGACACCATTTAGATTTTTTGCGGTTTGACTTGTGATTTATTTTCAAGTTCATTGTTTTTTCATTGTTAAAAGGAAGGCAAACTCGACTATCGAAAGCTAAAGTGTAAAGGTCACGAAAAACGTGATCGACTTCTAATTTCGAAAAAGGAAATTAATTATCAGATTTCCCAGTGAAATAAAAGTTTTGCACATTGATCCAGTGATCTTAAATTGGGTTAATTTTTAAAAAAAGTGTTCATCATATATTATTTTACAAATTCAAAGAGATTTAAGGCCATCTGTTTTTTTTCGAAATTCAAAAATTGAAAGTTTTTGAAAAAAAAACAAGCCAGTTTTTTTAGTTTCCTTGCGTTCATTATCTTTTCCAACTGTCAGTTAGCTAAGTTTCTTTGATTGTTGTGGCTGATAGCGGAACGTATATTGATATGCAGCCATTCTCAACCTTTTTTTAAAAAAAAGTTTGTGAATCATGAGAGCTGTGTTTCCAGTTGGATTTTTTCATTCTTTTTTGACATGGAAAAAGCAACGATATTTTAGCACGGATATAATTTACCTGCTGACTAATTAATAAAATTTTTCGAATAGCGTTGAGATAGGTTTCAAAAAAATCACGTTGAAGGCCCATGTTTTCAATTGTCTGTCTAGAGTAATCGAAAGCTTGTGGAATAGTCCAATTAAATTTTTCCACATGCTCGGAGAAATCCGTACTTGTTTTTGGAGCGGTGAGAAGGGTAGTGAGAAAATACAATATGCTACCAGTTTCAATGTTTCGTAATTGGAAATTAGTCTGTCACCTTTGGAAAATCAAACATAATCTACTACCAGCATACACAAGAATCAATACGAGAATGACACAAATCAATAGAACAAGAGAACTAAAAAATTACACTTCCATGAAAGGTTTAGCAGTCATTATATCGAAAACTTTTTTTTTCAGAAAATAAGTTTTTGGTATGGAACCAAATTGAAGCACAAATGGAAACTTTACCAGCAGCAGCTTAACATATAAGACTATGAAATTTAAATTTAAGAATTATTTTCTATCTATTTTCAGTGAAGATCCCTCTATGGTAACCTATGGAAAAAGATCGTGGAAACAATTTAAATTTATTTGAAGACAAAATTATATTTGTTAAATTATTATTCTGTAAATATTTATCATACTAGACAAAAATTGCATGGCCTACACTTGCATCATCTTATTGATTATCATTTTGCAATTAAAGTGTTCTTTTTTTTTTACTGTGAAGTCTGCTTTCAATGATTTGATTTTGGAAATTGTTGTGTGCGTTCTTAAAAAGGAAGTGCTCCTTAAAAATGAAGTGAATTCGTTCTTTGTGCTTCTTCCTTTGCTTGATCGAATTAGTTTTTCTATGATTGTTCTGACTGTGCTGTTACGTCTACTTTTTCTAGGCCATTCTCGAGCATTTTAAAAATGTGCTGTAAGAATGAGGAGTGTGTCACTACAGATAGAATACTTTTGTAACTTTTGTGCCCTTAACCGCACCACAGGTTATATTTCTATTGTTTTCGGTAAACTTTTACGGTTTAACTTTTTCGGTTAGCTTTTTCCTGTTTGATCTTTTTCGGAACCCACATGCTTGCAATTGTACAATGCAATGTGCCCTACACATGGGCTAATAAAATAACACTTTGTGAGGCTGTAAAATGTCGATCGGCTTTACAATATTTTTATGATTCCGTGTACTTTATACTGTCCCGTTGGTTAAATAAGTATCTACTAAATCTTCCCTTTCCCTAGTTTATCCATGTGTAATAAGTTGAAATTCTGATTTGACTGCTTTGAAATTCTGAGTCTGCTTTGGCTGCAGGAGGACCAATCGGATGCTGATGGGGATGATGCCTCTGGACTGTCGGACAAAGTGGACGATTTGAGGTCAGAAGTCAGCAGACTCAAGAAACAACTCAAGTCTTGTCAGATTGAACGTGAGTCGCCAGTGAAGAGCGTGTCCTAATTTGATTGCCACTTTTTTCTGCTTTCCGGGATTTTTTTTTGCTATAATTAAGTAAACTATCAAAGTTGAGCAAGTGATGGATCATCTTAAATTAGGAAATATATTTAGTTTTCAATTGAATATCACCGAAGGATGAAACCCCATTTTTAAGAACCAGATCTCATTGGTTTTTGCATCGCTTCGTTTTAGCAACGTTAGTACTTTTTTGTTTAGATGCGAAAAGGCTGAAGGAGGTGACGAAGGAAGAGGATGCTCTGAGAGCAGAGAAGTTACTGCTGGAGAGGAAGCTGGCGAGGGAGAAAGAAAGATCGGATGCTCTGAACAAACAGTTGAGCGAGAGCGAATCGTCCCTCGAAATAGACGACGAAAGGTTGAATGAGTTATAGCTGCACGATTTTTGAAAGAAGTTAATCGAATTGGACGTTTTCGTAGCAACGAGGGACTGAAACAGTTGGATAGGACAACATCATTTTAATATTTTTAATACATCAAAAAAAAGATTGAAATATGTTTAATCATGTCTCCGCCTCAATCAGAGACAAAGAAGAATCGGAAAATCGGTTCCAGGCCAACCATTATCCGCATTTATCGCTTAAAGTTGAAATATCACCCACCCCCAAAAATATCCAAAAATTGCATGTAATTGTGAACAGGCAGAATAGCGGTTCTTTGTAAAAAAGTGAACGGTTCGTATGTTGGTCCTTCCTCTCGTGGAAAAACCATCTAAAAAAGTAAATCGAATAAACGAAGTAAAATATATAAAAAATAAAATAAATGATGTAAATCTAGTGTGTTTTGTGTAGACACTTCAATGAGAGCAGGAAGAGCGCGTCTAGTCCCATTCCAGTGGTGCCTGGATCGCCACTCCATCACAGATCCATTTCCGGAGGTAACTGTCATCATTATCAGAACTTGATTTCCAGATTAATGAACGTAATGAGTACACTTGAATAGGTCTTGGTGAGTTTTTTTTTTGCGTTTTTTCTTCTGAAAAAAGTGTTCAAATTTAAATTTGTTCACCCTCAATTTTGATTTTTTGCTGGTTGACTTTTGATTGCTTTTAAGTTAAATTAATTTCCTTTGTTCAGAACCTTCTGTTTTCCCCAACCTAACCCGTAAATAAAAGGGCTCATTTCGTGGCACTTTTACAATAATCACGGTCTGTAATTTCATCACGGTCTGTAATGTAATCACGAAAGAAATTTCTTAGCATCTGACTAGTGTTTGCCGATTTTGAAGCGTAATTGGCACAGAGGTTAGGAGTGAGATTCCTAATCTCATGGTCAGAGCTTCGATTCCGTCGTGTGGCAGAACACGACGGATTTTTCTTAATTCCATGCTTGTTTCTACCTTATTTCATTTTAAAGAGCTGATGTTTTGTCGTGTTCTTCCTGGTGTTTGCGAAGCGCAGCTTCGCCTCTGTGTAAAATGAAAGCAAACTCCGCTATCGCGAACAACTAAAAGTAAAGGTCACGAAAAACGTGATTGATTTCGAATTTCGAAAATGAAATTGATTATCAGGTCCCAGCGAAATAAAAAGTTTTACCTGTTTTTCCAATTTTCTCATATTTAATTTATCAAAAAAACACCAACCATAAATTGTTCGTAAAATTCAAAGAGTTTTAAGGATATTTATTGTTCTCTAAATATCGTAAGTTGAAAAATTTCATTAGAAGCAAGTCAGTTTGTTCTGTTTCCTTGCGTTCATTACTCTTTTTCAATTGTCAGTTGGTTAAATTCTTGATTTACAGTCAATTAGTGCCCACTTTCAATGGTTTTATTATATTATACCTTATTATCTATTACAACGTCATCATGTTATAATCACCCTTGCGATAGCCAGGGTATTGCAATCGGGTACTATTGCAATCGGCCGTTTTTTTCTTAGAAATTTCATCACTATTCTACAAAACTTCAAGGTAAATCTGGAAATTTTCCATGCATAAGAGGTTGTTCCCATGTTTTAGTAGAGAAAAAGTTGGGCTTAGGAAAAGTCAAATTTCTGATTTTTTGATAGTTTTTTGAATCTTTTTCATTTTTTTTTGAAAACTATTCAGCCAAATCTGAGAAGAATAATTTTGAAAGAGAGTAGAAGTTTTATCTTAAATAAGCAGCTAATCTCCTGCCTAAGCAGAGAAAATACTAGGGTTTTGCGCAAAGTCTTTTTTTTTGTTTTTTGAAGTTTTGAAAATCACGCATTTTCGTATCAGTACAATATATGATTAAAAACAATAAAACACGTACATCCAGCCTTAGCTGGGCCACTAGTTTACTTCCAAGTGGCCGTGGCGCAGATGGGGGGACGTGAGTGACGCAGATCCAGGAACGTGAGTGAGGCTCCTAATCATCAGGTCGGAGATTGAAATTAATGGTTTTTTTGCTCAAATTTTTGCTGCTTTTTTGGTGGCTAATGTTAGTAAAAACACAAGCAGCCGTGGAGCAGATGAGAGGACGTGATACTCCTAATCTCAACATTGATATTCAAAATTTTCGTTTTTCCTTTTCATTGTTTTGCCCGTTTAGAGCTCTTGTTTGCGTTTTCCTCACTTGTGTTTGCTTCACTCCTCACTTTTTGCAAAAATTTAGTCAGTGGAAAACTACTCTACCAAAATGTTCGATTTTTTTTTCGTTTTCTCAAAGTACTCTCCAAAATCTGAGGTTTTGGGTTCAATGGATTCAGGGAAGTCCCCCTGCAGAAACGATTATGCCCAATTTTTGCAAGAAAAGTTTTGGCCCTCGCAAATAGTCAAACATTAGATTTTTTTTACCGTTGTTTGAAACTTCTCGTAAACTACCTGCCTAAAGCGGCTACCCCGTTTTAGGAATCTGAATAAGCGGAAACCTCGTTTTAGGAATCTTCACTGCTAATGCGGCAACGACCTTCTTATTGCAGAAAGAAGCTATGGCTTTTGGAAACTCAAGTTTTTGAACTTTGACCGTTATTTCGAAATATCTTTCTTCTTAGAAACTATCCTATCAATTTTGAGATGAAAGATTCTATCAAAATAACTGATTGCGAGAATTTTCCCTCGAGCAGTGGCGACTGTTTCTTTTTGTAAGAGGAATTTTATGAATTAGGGAAAGTTGCAATTTCTCATAGAGTTTCAGTCTTTCACTTATTTTAATAGCGAAACAACAAACGTTTTGGGCTAAGTCCAATTTTTGAAATTACCCATTTTTCTTGCATCAGTTAAACAAAACGTGTAATAAGATCTAAGATAAGAGAGTTTTTGTAGTATGGTTGACCCAAAAAAGCAGATGCCAGTGAAAACACAGATCATTCTGAGTGGTTTGACTCCAGTGAGGGCCTATATATATTTTTTCCAAATTAGGAATTTGGTTCCAGGAAAAATCCATTTCTGGACTATTGCCTGTCTGCTTTGTTGTGGGCTTATTTTTAATGGCACGGGTTTTTCATCTGATTCACTGTAAGTGAACTTCATATAATTTTTTTCTTGAAATTTGAAAATTTACCAGCTCCAATTTTAAGAATTTTCAGTTTAATTTTTTTTCGCCTTGAATAATTATTCGGTTTTAAATGTTTCGGCTGATGTTACGTTTGGAGGGGATATCTATATCTATCTATCTATCTATCTATCTATATTGATGAGGTCGCTTGTTCGAATCCGACACATCGCATAGTTTTACTAATTCGAAGTTTTTTTCTACTTGAGCTGCTTTTTTGTGGTTTTCTTGCTAGTGTTTGCGAAGCTTTGCCTCTGTGTTCAAATAGGGATAGTTTTATCATTGAAGTGTCAGTCCTAATATACTATTGTAAGTCACAGAGCTTTAAGGTGTTGAATTTTCTTTGACTTTCTGCAAAAAAATCTGCTGTTTTGATTTTTTAAAGTTCATAAACGCGTTTCTAATTGTCTCTTATCCTTTTCATTTGATATGTTCCAGGTCTCAATATTCAAGTGGGATCCCCAGTTACAGGTGCCTCCATGGTGGCCAACAAGTGCATCATGTGTGGAACCCACTTTCCCGCGGGAAGCCTCCCACCCTCTGCTGCCGCACCCGGCGGACCCATCTCAGCCGGCACCGCCGCCTCTTTCTCCTCCCTCCATCACCACTCCACCGGAGGTAGGCCACGCACAAATTGTATGGTTATTTTTAGACAAGAAGAGAAAACGAGTTTCTGAGTTTCTAAGTTTCTAAGAGGCTATCTCGATCGGCATATTAAACTGCCTGCAATGAGCAGCCAAAACCAGCCTACCTGCTCATGTACTTGTTACTGGCTGGACTTCTAGTTCTCACTCTATTATTCCGCAGCGGAATCGAACTTAACCCTGGCCCACATAACTGAAGTGTGTGTCACAATAAATTTATTCCTAACCAATACAGTGTCTGGTGCCACTTCGGAGGGTGAATACACCTAAAATGCAACGGAGGCGGACTAGCATTGATTGTTAAGGCCGACATAAAATATTAGACACTAAAATTATCACTCAACGACCCCCATATAGAACAAGTAATCAAAATATTTTCCTACACTTTATCTTTAACACGTCATCTTTAACAGATTCACATCCCATCACATTCAAGCTGTGGTCCCGGAAATACTGCGTCAATCCATTACCTGCTAACGAACACAGATGCGTTAATATCAGGTGATGTCAACGCACATAACGCTCTGTGGCTCTCCGAACTACAACCTGATTCGCGTTGTCTAAAAATTGCAGATGAAATAGACGCATCTGATTTTGTTGTTATAAACGACCACACACCCATAAGGAAAACAAGCAACACCGTAAGCTCACCTGTTATCGGCCTAACAACGTCAAGCCTGGTCATGTCCACCAATTGGTACTGTGACAACATACTGGAGTCAGACAATTCAGCCATCACCCTAGAATTAATCTGTAAAATTCAAACCAGACGGCAACTAAGTAACATAGTTCAACTTCAAAAAAGCGGGCTGGAAAAGTTTTCGAACTGAGGGCGAAAAAGCGTTTCGAAATTAAGCTCTACCCAAAGCAACAAAGAAGGCGATAAAATTTTCTGGAAAATAATTTGCGGCACGTCATCTAGACTTATGCGTCAAGGATGTTGTAAAGAGGTGAAGCCGAATTTTCTAACAGAAGCTCTTAGACTCTCCAAAATAAGGGACAATCTCCAACAGCAACATCCCGAAGACCTCAAAAGAATTGAACAAAACAAAAAATCAATAATGTGTTTGAAAATAATAACAGAACAAATAGATTGAGTTTCTTGGCAATGTTGATAATCGAAGGACAACAAGTTAACTCTGGTCTAAGTTTAAGTTTATCGAATAAAAATGCAAAATTTCCAAGAAACACTTATTGTCTTTGACAACGAGACCATTCTCAACACAAAAGAAATCTGTAATAAATTCAACCAACAAATCACTCCAAGCCCATACAAGAACAAAAAGTATAAACGGGCAATTATTCTTAAGGTTGAACAATCAGATCTAAGGATGTAACAATTTCTGCTAAGATGGTAGAAGAAGCACTGAAGTCGAGTACAAAAAAGCAAAGCGCTTGGACCTGATAACATTGCTCAAATTTAATTACTTTTCATTGGAAAAAGGCTATTAAATACCTCAGTAAGTTGATAAGCCTCCCATTGATTAATGCAACCATACCTAAAAATTGGAAAGTGGGAAGAGAAATACCCCTAGCTGAACAAGGTAAAGATCCCGAACAAGCTGAGAGCTACCGACCAAAAGAAAAATTGACTTTTACTGCCCTAAACTGTATCTTTCTACATAAAATTTGGTTCAAATTGTGTGGTTATTTTTAGACAAGAAGAGAAAACAAGTTTCTGAATTTCTAAGAGACTATATCGATCGGCATATTAAACTGCCTGCAATGAGCAGCCAAAACCAGCCTACCTGCTCATGTACTTGTTACTGGCTGGACTTCTAGTTCTCACCCTATTATTCCGCAGCGGAATCGAACTTAACCCTGGCCCCTATAACTGAAGTGTGTGTCACAATAAATTTATCCCTAACCAATACAGTGTCTGGTGCCACTTCGGAGGGTGAATACACCTAAAATGCAACGGAGGCGGTTTAGCATTGATTATTAAGGTTGACATAAAATATTAGACACTAAAATTATCACTCAACGACCCCCATATAGAACAAGCAATCAAAATAATTTCCTAGACTTTGTCTTTAACACGTCATCTTTAACTGATCCACATCCCATCACATTCAAGCTGTGGTCCCGGAAATACTGCGTCAATCCATTACCTACTAACGAACACAGATGCGTTAATATCAGGTGATGTCAACGCACATAACGCTCTGTGGCTCTCCGAACTACAACCTGATTCGCGTTGTCTAAAAATTGCAGATGAAATAGACGCATCTGATTTTGTTGTTATAAACGACCACACACCCATAAGGAAAACAAGCAACACCGTAAGCTCACCTGTTATCGGTCTAACAACGTCAAGCCTGGTCATGTCCACCAATTGGTACTGTGACAACATACTGGAGTCAGACAATTCAGTCATCACCCTAGAATTAATCTGTAAAGTTCAAACCAGACGGCAACTAAGTAACATAGTTCAACTTCAAAAAAGCGGGCTGGAAAAGTTTTCGAACTGAGGGCGAAAAAGCGTTTCGAAATTAAGCTCTACCCAAAGCAACAAAGAAGGCGATAAAATTTTCTGGAAAATAATTTGCGGCACGGCATCTAGACTTATGCGTCAAGGATGTTGTAAAGAGGTGAAGCCGAATTTTCTAACAGAAGCTCTTAGACTCTCCAAAATAAGGGACAATCTCCAACAGCAACATCCCGAAGACCTCAAAAGAATTGAACAAAACAAAAAATCAATAATGTGTTTGAAAATAATAACAGAACAAATAGATTGAGTTTCTTGGCAATGTTGATAATCGAAGGACGACAAGTTAACTCTGGTCTAAGTTTAAGTTTATCGAATAAAAATGCAAAATTTCCAAGAAACACTTATTGTCTTTGACAACGAGACCATTCTCAACACAAAAGAAATCTGTAATAAATTCAACCAACAAATCACTCCAAGCCCATACAAGAACAAAAAGTATAAACGGGCAATTATTCGTAAGGTTGAACAATCAGATCTAAGGATGTAACAATTTCTGCTAAGATGGTAGAAGAAGCACTGAAGTCAAGTACAAAAAAGCAAAGCGCTTGAACCTGGTAACATTGCTCAAATTTAATTACTTTTCATTGGAAAAAGGCTATTAAATACCTCAGTAAGTTGATAAGCCTCCCATTGATTAATGCAACCATACCTAAAAATTGGAAAGTGGGAAGAGAAATACCCCTAGCTGAACAAGGTAAAGATCCCGAACAAGCTGAGAGCTACCGACCAAAAGAAAAATTGACTTTTACTGCCCTAAACTGTATCTTTCTACATAAAATTTGGTTCAAATTGTGTGGTTATTTTTAGACAAGAAGAGAAAACAAGTTTCTGAATTTCTAAGAGACTATCTCGATCGGCATATTAAACTGCCTGCAATGAGCAGCCAAAACCAGCCTACCTGCTCATGTACTTGTTACTGGCTGGACTTCTAGTTCTCACTCTATTATTCCGCAGCGGAATCGAACTTAACCCTGGCCCCTATAACTGAAGTGTGTGTCACAATAAATTTATCCCTAACCAATACAGTGTCTGGTGCCACTTCGGAGGGTGAATACACCTAAAATGCAACGGAGGCGGACTAGCATTGATTATTAAGGTTGACATAAAATGTTAGACACTAAAATTATCACTCAACGACCCCCATATAGAACAAGCAATCAAAATAATTTCCTAGACTTTGTCTTTAACACGTCATCTTTAACTGATCCACATCCCATCACATTCAAGCTGTGGTCCCGGAAATACTGCGTCAATCCATTACCTACTAACGAACACAAATGCGTTAATATCAGGTGATGTTAACGCACATAACGCTCTGTGGCTCTCCGAACTACAACCTGATTCGCATTGTCTAAAAATTGCAGATGAAATAGACGCATCTGATTTTGTTGTTATAAATGACCACACACCCATAAGGAAAACAAGCAACACCGTAAGCTCACCTGTTATCGGCCTAACAACGCCAAGCCTGGTCATGTACACCAATTGGTTCTGTGACAACATACTGGAGTCAGACAATTCAGCCATCACCCTAGAATTAATCTGTAAAATTCAAACCAGAGGCAACTAAGTAACATAGTTCAACTTCAAAAAAGCGGGCTGGAAAAGTTTTCGAATTGAGGGCGAAAAAGCGTTTCGAAATTTGGCTCTACCCAAAGCAACTAAGAAGGCGATAAAATTTTCTGGAAAATAATTTGCGGCACGGCATCTAGACGTATGCGTCAAGGATGTTGTAAAGAGGTGAAGCCAAATTTTCTAACAGAAGCTCTTAGACTCTCCAAAATAAGGGACAATCTCCAACAGCAAAATCCCGAAGACCTCAAAAGAATTGAAGAAAACAAAAACTCAATAATTTGTTTGAAAATAATAACAGAACAAATAGATTGAGTTTATTGGCAATGTTGATAATCGAAGGGTAACAAGTTAACTCTGGTCTACGGTTAAGTTTATCAAATAAAAATGCCAAAACTCGAAGAAACACTTATTTTCTTTGACAACGAAAACATTGTCAACACAAAAGAAATCTGTAATAATTTCAACCAACCAGTCACTCCAAGCCCATACAAGAACAAAAAGTATAAACGGGCAGTTATTCGTAAGGTTGAACAATTAGATCTAAGGATGTAGCAATTTCTGCTAAGATGGTAGAAGAAGCACTGAAGTGAGTACAAAAAAGCACAGCGCTTGGACCTGATAACATTGCTCAAATTTAATTACTTTTCATTGGAAAAAGGCTATTAAATACCTCAGTAAGTTGATAAGCCTCCCATTGATTAATGCAACCATACCTAAAAATTGGAAAGTGGGAAGAGTAATACCCCTAGCTGAACCCGGTAAAGATCCCGAACAAGCTGAGAGCTACCGACCAAAAGAAAGATTGTCTTTTACTGCCCCTTAACTGTATCTTTCTACATAAATTTTGGTTTGAACCAGGCCAAACCATGCCAAAGAACTCTAATGTTCGCTCTAGACGTGACAGCAGCTCGAATATGTTTTTAAACACCAAAAGATGAGTCCTTGCCTACCTGCGATGCAGACATATTTATGTAGAATTTAGAGACATTAAATCCAATCGCAGGAAGGTGGAAAAAGGTGTTCCACAAGGTTGTGTGCTATCCCTGGTAATATTTAATCTGTGTCAAAAATGCCTCTACCAGAGAAGGATTACATCAAGTTGACTATTTATGCAGAAGACATAACCCTCACATCATCATATTAATGATTTAGCAGGCTGAAACCTATCACTATCGAAAGATAAGTCCACAACAAACTATTCTCGACTCCAAATGACTTAGCAGGCAGAAACCTATCACTTTTGAAAGATAAGTCCACAACATCATTATTCTCGACTTCAAAACCAGATGTTATGATTGACGGAACTAACCTACCCACTACTCGCAACCCCCAAGTTTTAAGAGTAACGTTTGACAACTAACTGAAATTCGATGAAAACTGCCATAAGACCCATGACAAACTACAAAAAGGCATAGTGTACTTAAAAAAAATTGCTGGCACTACTTAAGTCTGCTCCAAAGAAACAGTCGCTTACAAGGCAATTGGAGGGAGTGTCTTGAACAAAGCAGCTCCAATTCCGAACCCCACACTTTATTACACCAACTGGCATCGTTTACAAATGAAGCAAAACAACGCTCTAAGAACAACAACGGGATGCATAAGAATGAGAGACATGACACATTTACATGACGAGACGAAAACCTGACTTGGATTTTTTGCTTAACGTAAACCGGTAGAACATCTCTAAGCTTGAATTCCTTTATGGGATCAAAAACCTGCACACCACAGAACTACAAAACTTTCTTGACGATAATTTTTAAGCTTTTTGGTAGAATGCCCCTAATTATATCACCAAATGAAAGCTCGATGTAACACTCACAATTGCGATGCGGAGATTCTACTTCCACCGCTAGCTACTACTCAGGCTTAACTATATACCCGACATCTGCTCAAGTTGCTACATAGGACCTCACACCACCGAACATCTGTTGAACTGCCGGGTACACCCAACCTCACTTCCCATAGAGAGCTTATGAGAGAACCCCGAAGAAGCTGCCAAACATCTGCAGCTTATCACATAACCCCACGCAACGGATATTTTTCTCGGTTCTCCTCACTAATAAAAACTGCCCGTTTGAGCCGGGCATGGAGTTTCACTCGGTTCTCCTCAAGACAGTTTCCACTTCTTCGCCAGTTTCGCTTCTATAGACCCTCGGCAGTGATAGATAAGACAAGACAAAAACAATTATTCCCATACTCTCAAACATAAACGATCTCTCTAATTCAATCAGAAGCTCAAAGCAGAGATCGATGTAGCAACAACAACAAGCTTTCTACGGCAAAAAAAATACAGCTCTAAATTTCTCTACTATCTCTAGTAGTTTTGTGGGACAATATCATTGTTTGAGCCTTATGTCGGGATAGGCTGTTTTCAGCCTGCAGTCTGCGATATACTGCTATTAGCAACCTCAAAGCTCTGATCAGAATCCGTGATTGATAAATTGCGATTAGGTCACATGGGAAGCAATGCAAACACACCTGCGGCGACCACAGGAATCGGAGGAGCTCACGCAGGATGCAGTGGGAGCCACGGGTTGTTCTTCCCGCCCGGGGTAGGGGCTGGTCTGCCCTCCCCAAATGCCAATTCATTCACGCCATACGGTGCTGCAGCCACTCAACAAGTTAGTACAAACTGACGATTAAATTGAAGCATTTGATGTGAGGGTAAATAAAATAGCTGAAGCATCAACCAACCTAACATGCGCAGAGTACATAAACCAGCCGAAAAGTTTTATCATATGAGTGAAATTTTTATAAATTTCGTAACTGTTACATATTGTTGCATAATCATTATATAACGCTCACGCTTTTTCGGCTGGTTGATTCTTCGGCTGGTGTATATACTACCATTTACTGTACCATAATGAGAATGATACCCTTGCGATAATGAATACTTTTGTAAATACTAATCAAGAACTTCTGTAACAGTTGATAATCGAAAATTTTGTGTGTGTTTTCAGTGCATCCGTTATTTAGTCTTTGTTTCAGCGTATTTGGTGTTGTTTGAATCAATACTGACTAGACATGTTTTTCAGCTAGATAAGTGCTGTTTTAGCGATCGCGTCTCGTGAGTGGGTCATCTACCACATCTCAAAAATCTCCCAGGGGCAGTTTCCTCAACGAGTCATCAGGTTAGGTATTATTATGTTACTCTGAATTAAATACAGCCAATGAATAAGAAAAAGTACCGTCAAAATAGTACCGGTTCTGTTTGTCGTTATCCGCCTTTTTTACCCCACCTGGGTAGGAGTTGATTTTTAAGTGTAAAAGAACGCTGAGATTTTCTAGTGTATGGATTTTAATATATTTTCATTGCTTTTTCCGGAGTTGGCTTGTTCCTGTTCGATAAAAACAGGTATTATGAAAATGTATAGGATTTGGTTTTTTGTTCCGACCATTTGAAAATTGGGGAGGAACTTTGTATTCGGTTGCATTTTAGTTTTTTTTGTTTTTCACGTAAAATCATGTACCACAAATAATCATCGGACAGGGTCGAGTGATATAACATACTAAAGCTCTTTTAGTTGTGGTTCGAACGACATTAAAAAATTCCCAATAAATTTTCCTAGTGTCAAGAAAAACCGGTCTGAAATGTTGAATTTTTCGTCTATTTTCGAGCGAGTAAAGCGATCGAGTAACGTTCGTTATATACGAAAATTAGCAATTTAGGTGTAAAAACAATTGATTTAACTAGAAGAAAAACTAGTTTTGGAAGCTTTATTTAGCTCTTTCCAGATAAAAAACTTTCAAAATTATTTGAATTTTAGTGCAAAAAATTGAAAAAAAAAGTAAAGTTTTTTTTCGAAACGTTTATTTGGTTTTTTATTCATTTTTTTGAGGTTATTCAGTTTTTTGAGTCGTTTTTGAGTAATTCACTAATTTAATGTGCGTTCGTATAGTTGTATCAGGACACTACGTACAAAAAGAGACCAACTTGAATAAAAAAGTTCTTTTTCTGAAATTGTGTTCGGAACAGCAACCGGCTATCCTTTTCTAACTTTTTTCTGTTTTTCACGTAATACCAAAAATAATTATCGTCTGGGTTAAGTGATATACTTTTTTAAAGCCCTTTCAGTCGTGATTCGAACGACATAAAAAAAACTTCCATAAAAATTTCTGTGTCGAGAAAAATCGATTTGAATCTTCTGATTTTGTTCTAATTTCGAGCAAATAAATTGAGCGCCCAGGCTTACAATAGCTCATTTTTTTCTTAATTGAAGCCGTAAAAATTAAATTTTACTAAAGTAAAATTGGTTTCTGGAGTTTTAGCGCCATTATGGGAATAGAAAATTTCAGCAAAAAAGTTTTTCTGTGGGCGAATTTTTGAAACATATTTTGGACTATTTTTTTTCTCCGAAATTATTATGAAAAATCTGAGATTAAGAAATCAATCAATAGAGCGTGTTCTCGAGACCTTACATGCATAAGCTGCCATGCCCTTATTTTGGTAGAAAAATAGTTTTGACTTTTGACCATTTTGGAAATTTTTTCTCAAAAACTATCCTCTCAAATCTGAGGTTAATTTGATTAATTGTATTAATCTAAAAAACATTTTTGTTAATTTTTAATGCCAAAGAGATGGCGTCCTATTTTTTTATGAAAGAAGTTATTTCCTTGCAAAATGTACAATTCTTGACATTTTGATTGTTTTTTGGCTACGGTTTAACTTTTCTAGATAAGTAATCTGAGACGAAAAATTTAAGCGAAATAAAAGGTGCTGGGTTTTTTTTTCTGGATAGCACCACGTCCTAGTTTTTGTACACAAGCAAGTTGAAACTTAGGAAAAATCTATTTTTCGAGTTTTGACTGTTTTTTGGAAAATTTTTGATTGTTCTCAAAAACTACATTGTCAAATCTAAGATTAAGGGTTCGATCGAAGGAACGTGTGCTAGAAAATTGCTCTTCATAGCGGTCAACTGTAGTTTTTGTAGAAAAGCATCGTTGGACAGTTTTGTTCGTTTGGAATTTGTTTGATTTTCTCGAATGCTACGGTGCCAAATATGAGATTGAGGGTTCAATCGAACGAACCAATTGTATTTGTATCCACTGGATAAGTGAGTTTTTTCAGTTTTGGTTTAGAATCCACTATGGACTTAATAAATACTTGACCTTTCGACCCGTTTTTGGATTTATTTCGGTTCTCAAAAACGAGCTTGCCAATTCTGAAATTAAAGAAGTTTAATAAACGGAGGTTAAATCTCCCCTGCAAAAGCGTGTTCTCCGTACTCCATTCTTTTGACAGGAATCGTCTATGGACTTAGTAAATGTCGACTTTTCTACCTTTTCACTCACTTTTAAATCAACGCATAACCTTTCGCATCAGTACGTTTTAAAACATAGGCGCTACGCTCAATACACCGAAGGCATAGAAAGTGAAGCAAAAACCAAACAACTTGAACAACTAATAATTGAAGAATAACAGTTCTAGAACAAAAAATCGTACTAACACATGTATACACCAAAATTTTACTATATTGACAAAGGGCCTGAAATAACAGTTCGTGAGCTAAAAATCGTACGAACACATGTATACACCAAAATAGTACACGTAGTCCAAAATGCTCGTACTCTTCGACGTGACCTGCATTGTCAACTGTGACCCTCTAAGAGAATGAATAAAATGCAGTAATGGTAAATTTCAAAAAAGATTCAAAGAAAATGATCACAAAGAACTCATCTACTGCTAGTCAATCAAAAATATAACAAGGTACATATGAACGATTTGAGTACATTTGAGAGACATAACAAAAATTTGTCTACAACCAGACATCCAGAAAGTGTAAAGCAGTCTTAAGCGTACTACTAATAGGCGGTGTGTAAACGTGATACAACGCCTTGGGTGAACTCGAGCGTAATGGACGGGTTCTCGAGAAAGAACTCAGACAGGCTTACTTCGTTTGTGCATGGAGCGGGAAAAAGATTTAAATCTATCAGAAACCGGCGTTTGTCACTAATAACAACGTGTGCAACATCTTTTGGCGTTGGTGCCCGACTGACAAGTCCACATGCCGGATTCTTGCACTTCAGAACTTTTCCCTGCAACCGAAAACGATTTCAGTTTTTATTCAACAACGATACAATAGTTTTCAATGCAATACAAAAGCATTGTCTGAATTACACACCTTGCTAAGTTCAATGACTTCAACATTTTTGATGTTGCACGAGGAGCAGGTGTCGTGGTTCGATTGTTGAATGCCCCACGACACAACTTGGACAACTTCGGTAACACAAGAGACCGCATCATCGGCAAGTGTTTCTTTCACCTTTTCGAATTCGCCATTGGAGTCCATTGTTGGGACAATCGAAAGAGCCTGAATTGAATATCAGAAAACATATGCAAAATATATAAAAAGTTGATTTAGCAAGAACTCACGTTAACGACAGGTTCTTCGTTGAACAGTTTCACGCGACCGTCTACTGTGACAATGGTTGACGGTGACGGCGTGTGGATGTCATGTATAGGGTCCCAGACATTGACAGTCACCCTTTCACCAGTCTTGGTGGCAACTTGCAATTCATTCAACTCGTGATTAGGGAGATGCTCTACTTTTCTGCTTATAATTACGCAGTCAAAGGCAACTTCCCTGTCGACAAGTGCATCCATATTTGAAAAATCAGTGATCTAAACAATGGGCTAAACATAAATATCTATTCCCACCTCAATAAAGGATATATATGTGTGTAAGAAGAATACTGCACGCACCAAATTGGGATTTTCAAATTTTTGCCATGAATGCTGTACAGACGACGTTCCACTGACTTTGGTATAACTGCCAACCATCAGTACCATTTGGCCTGGATCCCGTTTATCCGATTTTGGTGCCGCGCTTATTGAAACGGGTGTCTTCTCGGATGAGTATTTCATAAATACGCTGTGTTTTGATTTGTCAAAACACAGACCTCGCAGAACGTCGTTTTCTGTTTAACATAATTTAACAACTTGAACAAGCTTAGGGCGAATATATCGACTGAGGTAAGTAGTTTTATCAGTTGTGCGTCTCTTCAAGTCAACGGCAAGCAAACAGTTGTCATTAGCAGGGCGTGGTAATATTTTGAGGGTATGGTCAATGTTACTGGGGACATTAACAACAGCACCCTTCGAAGCATACTGTCCCCCTCTGGGCCTTGAGAATATTTTCATGAAAGGAATACGCGCAGAACAAAGTAACTCTTCGAGTCTGGTGACAGAGAACTGTAACGGAATACTTGCATATTTAAAACCATTAAGAACAGCCATTTCTGGAACTAGGCCTTTTCTAATTTGACGAGAGCATGACACACATATCCATTCTATGTTATCAACAGACATGTAATCAGTATAACAACGTTGAAATAAACCAGTCTTGTTCGTAACTGGTGTTACTTGGTCTCTGTACTTTTGCTGAGAACAACATGTGCAAACAAATTGGAGGCAACTGTCTAAAATTTTTCTGTTCCACCTTCTCACTAGTTGTTTAATACTCGGCGGAAGTTTTTGCCTAGGTTTTATTTTTCTGCGACTGAGAATTCGCTTTTTCACTCTTGCTGATTTGGCACGTTTGGAAGCCATCTCTTTGTTTTTAGCAAGAACGTTAGGAATCTTCATTCTTTGTTGACTTCTCAATCGATTTATAGCTTCGTACTGGGGGTTATTTCGGAAATGTTGTTTAACAACATTTGTCTTTAGAATCTTATATTGTTCGTTACTTCTTGACAAGTGTTGGTGTTCTTTGAAATTTGGCAAAACTCGTAATTTGCTCAATCGCTGTCGATTATATTCTTGCTTGCGGTCAGTTCGCACTTGACCAATGGAATCTTTTCGCTGTGATACGCGCTCTTGCTCCACAAAAGTTGGACTCTTACGCAAATGTTCCAAACGCTGCCGATTGTATTCTCTTTTTGAGTTCTTTTTATCAAAAATTGTGGCCGCCAAATCAAACTCAATGAAGACTGGTGTTAGATCCACGTGACTGGGAACTGAATTTTGCGACAAACTATTTGTGTGGTTTATTGTCTTCGCCTTCTCGCGCTTCGTTCGTGCCCATTCTGCCTGGTACACTTTCCGATCCATCTTTGACTTTGTTAATTTCTTAACATTACCACAAGTGTTATTTGATAAATTGTCCAGCAGCATAATATTGGCAGCGGGTGTTGGAT